AAGACAAATGCAGTCTGGAACAGATTCCTTCCATATGTTTGCACCAGGTTAATCTTGACCGTCCCCTGGGTCTTTTGCCGGTCGGAATTGCAAAGAGCAGTTGCTTAGCCTTCCTAAGAGGAAGGAGGCATTCGCAGCAATGTCCAAGCCACCGCAGCTGTGATTTCTCAATCTGGAGAATCAAACGCTGTACACCAGAGCTCTGACCGATGTCAGTATTCCGGACCATGTCGAGATGTGTAAGGCCAGCGACTCGTCTAAGAAAGCCCATTTCAGCAGCTTGTACCCGGGTTCGAAGTTTATCAGTGACGGTCCACGATTCAAAACCGTAGGTAAGTATGGGGACAATACACATGGTACTTACAATTGATAATTGACCTAATAAGCAACATAATCCGAAAAAAACTGGCCGGGATATCATTCTTGACTGAAAAAAATTACAGCAGCAATGGGTATGTCACGTGGTAAGAACCGACTACCGCTCACCAGAGTTATTAGACTGGATTCCGAGAGAATAAACGGATCCGTAGAAATACCTCCGGACGATGAGCTTAAGAGTTCATTGGATAAGAAGCGCAGAAAATTTTATGACAGTTATGAAGACAAGTTCGTCCAGCAGCGAAGAGAAAAAGCACGATGACGATGTCTTCATAATGATGAGTAACCGTTTGAACACAAGTTCAATAAATAACAGACAGATTCAAATTTCAATCTGAAATACCATCGCATCTGAGTGGTTTTTCTATAGCTCCGGGGATCCCATGGGCAATCGCTTATAAATGTGATAACAGACGCGATTCGCAAAGAAACTCTTGCAAAAGTCATTAAAGTCAGCCAATGAGCAATCCGAAGACTGAATAGATCAAGTTCACTGAGCATCTGGCACAGAACTGCTGAAGAATGTTAGACGGGTGGAGAAAGACGGAGATCAGTGAACAGACCCCAATTACAACTTGACAATACTCAGACATAGAAATAGAAGGATAGAGAGATTCAAATATCACAAACGTACTCTTTATCCAAAGGGCATAGACAGTAGCATAAAAAAATCGTTGCAGCAGCTTCAACTACAAACACGTCATTATCTGTCGCCAAATAACATAATCATGATATAAAAGTACGCAGAAAAGCACGCAAAATGTTTAAGAGTACCCACAAAGACGAGAACCGTGTTATTTTTGGAAAAACAAACAATCTGATAACAAGGAACAAAAAATTTATTTCGAATAGCGAAGTTCCACAAAACAGTACTATCGCGGACAGCAGTTTTTAAGCACGTTGCAAACAGCAGGAGGTTTCTTTGAAATTACTCGCCTGGATTTCCACAATGATCAGCCAAATTCTGATTGTGTACATTATAAATATTTGTTAACGCCGCGCTCTGCAATAAGACGAGAGCGCGAGGGAACGACTGATGTACTCTTCACCCGACGCCCGACGGATGAACCAAAATCAATAGGTATTTTTCCACTTTAAGTTTTATAAAACGAAACAACGATATTTGCACAGCACAGCTCGTCAGCAACTGCAGCACGTTAGTCGATCTTTACGGCCGAATATATCTTCTGAACGAATCTGTTTGCAGCGATGTAACCGAAAGTTCCTGCAAACGAGTTAAAATAAAACAAAAAATAAAAATAAAATCAAAAGCATTATTACCACACATAATTCCGAGAGTCAAACTGAATACCGCCATATAACCAAAATAGAATGCCGTTTGAAACAGTCCGAACATTCTGAAGAGGTAATCAGTAAATAACACCAATACTGGCATCTCAAAATTACACTAACTTTGTCTTGAAGAAAAAATAATAGAAGGAATAAATGTAGACGTAAACTGCGGTTGCAGTTCCGGTAAGAAAACTGGTCCAACGCCTAAAATATCTTTGTTTTAAAACGTACTATACGAAAACATGAAAGAACGCATGAGCAACATTACCATCGATAATCCTCTGAATTAAGTAACAAGTAACAGCAAACTATTGTGATGCACATCGTCACAACGACCAGCAGTAGCACGACCAGTAGCATGAAGCCGTACACGTAGTAGATCTTATACGCCCAAAATGAGGTAAATATGAAATATCTGAAAAAGCAATGCGGGTCACAATATCGAAAAAGAATACATTTTAAACGTACAAGAGTACAATAGAAAAATATAAAAATTTTCATCTATGTAGTATAAAAAAATTTTGTAACCGTTGCAACATCAGTCATCATTACACTTCCATGATTACAGGTCATTTGTGACGCGCTTATTTTCTATCAGCCAGGAGTGCCACATTTTATAGGAAGTGTCCACAACTATGTCGCTAGCATAGCGTGACATTCCCTTTCTTCTCACAAAGTGGTACTCGTTTATCGGTATGGGAAGAAAGATGAATCAACAGATGGAAGCTCGAACCTATTTCCTCTCGATTCTGAGTTCGACGCTCCATCTACTGAACAACCCCGATTCTATATGTACTATTAAAACCAGTTTGAATAACAAAAAAATTTATTCCGAACTTTCACCGCTTGCAAAGCATTTGCTTCTCTGTCAATTTCTTGTTGTAACACGAAATGATCTTGACAATCAGCTGGTAATACATAAAAACAGATAGAAATTTTGATTTTGGCTGGGATCGCCGTCATCATAAAATCACACATTTCCGCAGCCCTGGCATTCAGAATAATCAAGTCTGGTCATTTCAACTGATACAATTGGTTTAATCAACTATCACTTCGTAACATAATATATTTAACCTTTTATGTCATCAGACATTTTGGTTCAAAACACTGATTGCTAAAACCACAATAATCATCTGTCTGTCTCTGCAGTTTCTCCCTCTCTCGCCTCTCGCATATTTCAAATGCAGCTTGATAACGAAAAAAGTCAGTCTTCTAACAGATTTTCTTATCGTTATCAATTGCACAAATCTTCTATCGTATTATACGACCTCTTCCACTAGATTAACCACTGATATCCTCTAGAAACTCTCAAACTGCTGCTGCCACAGAGACTTGACTCCAACTTCTTATGCAGACGTGAACTCTTCAAAACTAGGTTAATCCGGTTTGATTTTGATGCAATAAAGTATCTGCAAGGATCCCTAAAACTGATACATCGATCCATAAACTGAATTACAGACTGATACCAAAAAAGAAGCAACGATTGACAATGGTGTAACGAGCAGGCACATGGAACCAAATAAATACACTGAATCGATCACAATATTCTCCTAGAAAAGCTAAGCACTGTATTTCAACCAAGCAACCATCTCATATATAACCAAAGCTACACATTTTCTGCTAAAAAAAACTTAAACTGAGATGCCTCTATTAGAACAGGTTTATGATCCGTTTTTTCAGAAATATGCGACATTCCAGGAACGAAAGGAATGATAACGGCAATGCTAAAATCAATAAGCTTACACTGCTCCCGAACTGAATATTTGCTTCGTTCGCTGGGGTCATACTGTAAGCTCCAGCAAACAGTCAAATTATACATAATGGAAAAGTACCACCGTTTCAGCCCATTTCACAAGGATCTTCTTCAAGGTAAAGAGGTGAATTAGCATCAGAACGTCAAAACTTATGGTCACTTAAAATGTTAAAGATTTGTTTAATAATATTCCCTATTCATATTAATCCAAATTATTCACTAATAACATGACCGTAAACTTCTAACGGATAATCGTACTAATTTACCAGCTGATTTTACCATAAATTAATAATTTGCTTAGTAAAGGCGAATCATTTCTCCTTCGATGGTGGATTCTTCAAACAAGCCAAAAGAACACCCAGGATAACCCCGTTTTTCCCTATCCTATCTGAAATTTCCACTGAAAATTTTGAAAATGTGGCCTGGGACACGAACCCATGGCCAGTTTCCAAGGATTTTCAAAAAGACGCGTTGACGGCATTTTTTTCATTTGCATAAATGATGATGTAAATAAAATATTAGACCTTCTCAGATACCTATTCCGTCAAAAAATAAGCTAATTATTGCAAACAAATCAAAATTCTAGTGTACATTTCTTGATATCTTAATAATTAATTCTGCCCATGGTCATAAAACTAAATTTGATCGAAAACGTGCTAACAGTGATAAGTGTCTAAGTTTC